CGCTAGATTAAAGATTCATCACCGCTGTGCTATTGCATATTCTTCACCTTCACGGAACCTCATTAAAAAGATCTTCAAATAACTGGTGGTTTTTCGATGGTTTTTAAAGAAGGGAGAGCTGGTGATAGGCCCGCCCCCGACCTCAGTCAGACGGGGCCCAAAGTACACCACCAGGCATATTAGCAGACAGTAGCCAAGGGGATTCTTCAGTTCCATGTCTTTCTCTTCAATCCTTATCTCGGTGGTTCTCGCAATTGCTTTTTTCAGCCCTTTGTCTCACTCTTGTTCCTTTCCTTCTTGCCGGGAGTCTGGGTGTCACGAATCACACCGGCGCCGCTGTCAGCAATTAGCACGGCACTCCCCGCTTTCACAGATAAACCCCTTCACTCCGTTCACTCCTCGCTCACTGTTGAGTTAGTCTTTGCCTTTCTCTTGTGCGCTTTCCATCAATTACTGTTTACTGGATACCGACCCCGCTCTGCCTCCAACCTCGACTCTGTCTCTGCCTCGCGTCTCTTGGATTTGTTTACCTCACTGCCTCTTCCGCTGGACTCCCGACCCTGCTCTGCCTTCGATCCCTCGACTCCGTCTCTGCCTCGCGTCTCTTGGATTTGTTTGCCTCGCTGCCTCGACCTCTGGACTCCCGACCTAGCCTGGCTCCTCCGACCTCGAACTTCGTCTCTCGTCCCTTGGAAGTCTGACCTGTTTCTTGTTGACACCGCATAGGGTCCAAACATCTACACCACTCGTCTCCTTTGCGTTGTGTGACACTGGACCTCCCTCCTGGAAATAGAAAGACTGCTAGCTCTGCCCATGCCCAGCGCAGGGCGTCCGGTGTTTCCCGTTTTCTGAACTGTGGGAGTCTGGAATGGGCCCCCCAGCTATGCTTTTGAAGACGATACCCTGGTATCTCTCAAGAAACAGCTGGAGGAGATCCTGGGGTCAGTTAATGACCAACTGTCCGACGGCCCAGACAAGTGCAAAAAAGTAGGCTGAAGAGTAGGCTGATAAATTGTATTATGGTAAAAAGTGTCTGTCCAGTAAAGGGTCAGATGAGCGAGCCTGCTTTACGGACCTCTCGTGTTCTGAAGCAAGGAGAAGAAATGTCTTGGCCGGGAAACACCGTGAGGGGCCTGTCAGTGTGCATTTTCTAGTGGTGATGCGCACTAAAAAAAATGAAGATTCGAGTAGATTATTCAGTGGTGCTCTGTACCTATAGCCAGCAGCTACAGTATATCACTCTGCAACTCACAACTGGCAGCCCACTGAAGCTCAGCAGGTGTGGTCAGTACGTGGATGGGAGACCTCCTGGGAAAAACTATGGTTGCTGCTGGTGTTAGTGGGGCCAGCGGGTGGCCCTCACCCTGCGGTCTGTGTAGGACCTAATTCCCAAGTGTAGTGTCAGGGCACTTTACTGTAAAAAGGCGTTGTCCTTCAGATGAGACGTAAAACTGAGGTCCTGACTCTCAGTGGTCATTAAAGAGGGTGTTTCTCGATAAGAGTAGGGAGTTATCCCGATATCCGGGCCAAATTCCCCCCCCCCTCAGCCTTTACAATGGCCTCCAAACTGTCCCCATGTGTGATTGGCTTGCACTTGCCCTGCGATGGACTGGTGCCCCACCCAGGGTGTGCCCTGCCTTGTGCTCGTTGCTTGCTGGGTAGGCTCCAGCTTCCCGCGACACCGTATGGTGTAAAGCAGTTTGGTAAATGACATGACTCTGTACCTCCTGCTATAGTCATGTCTTTATTTCTTCATGACATCAAATCATTTCATAGCATTATGATTTGCTGGAGCTAACAGCCATGACATTTGACCAATATATACACTGCAGGATGGACTCAGGATCCGAGGATGGATGGGAGACCACTTAGGAACTCTGGATTGCAGCTATATGCTGTGGTGGCAGACCGGGAGGTGTGGTGAGGGACACAGTACCACCCTTCAGATGAGATGAAAAACCGTGGTCCTGACTCCTTGCTCATTAAGGATCTTTGTGTAGATAATCACCTCCCGTTCTGGGTCTCAGACACACGCCACTGTATTCACTACCCGTGTGCTCTGGGCCGCGCTTCCCTGACGATTTGGGCACATCGTCACTGCTGCAGATCCCGAATCCGCACGCCTGACCTTCCCCGTTCTGTTC